TGGGTTCCATGAGGGGTGGGGATGGCTGCACTGGCCCCAGACCTCTGACCCCACCACTCTCGACAGCTTCTGCAAGGGGCGGACACTGCACTCGTTTGTGAGGGACCCCAAGACATCTCTGGACATCAACAAGACGAGACAGATTGCTCAGGAGATTATCAAGGTAAAGGTGTATCCGGCTGCAAAGAGGGGATTTCTGCTGGTGCCAGAGCCCCCAGTCAATTTCCTGCTCTGCTGGCCCATGTCTACTTTATCTAGCTCGGACTCCTCAAGGGTGTGACCCCCCCCCCTTCCCTTTGTCCTTGTCTTATCCACTTGGAGCCGGGAACTGTCCACTCAGCCTTGATGGAATTGAACTGGTTAGGGAGGCACTCAGCAGGCAGTTTGAATCCTGGTCACACCTACTGTTTCCTTTCAGGGCACACAAAAGGACTCATGATTTCTGCCTTAAAGGCTTTTTATTTTCTCCAAGCGGCTAAACTGAGGAATTAAACTTTTAAAAACCAAAGCCAAATTCAAGTTTCACATCAGATCACCAGATCACAGGCCCTCAGGCTCGGCACAGGGGCACCTTTTTTCTTTTCTTTTATCGTGTTTAAAAGTAGTTAAATAAAAGTGAAAGAAAAGCCCATTTTGTTGCTTTATTTAGCAAGGAACAGACCCAAATAAAAACTAGAATGGCGATAGATAGGCGGTCTTTTTTTCTCTACTTTTTCTCATTAAGTGAATTGAAAAGCTTTCACTTACCAGCTCCCACCAAGTTCCCCCCCCATTTTCTCTCCTTTCCTCCCACCTGCCCTTTTCTCTTCTCTCTCCCTTCTTCCCTTTCTTCATTCCATCCATTTTGTGTTTAGAAAGGAAAGAATAAAAATCACAATCATGTTTTCAGATAAACCAAGGTTTCCATGTGGCCAAATTAATGAATCAAGCTATTGAAGACGGAAACCAAAATACAACCTTTTTGCCTTTAGTTGCAGTCCGTGTGATTTCAGAGAGATTCGAAGGGGCTATAGAGTGGGAACGCAGCTTCACTTCCCCCTAAATGTTCTCGGTTCTGTCCCCGTGTCTCCCCCACCCTGCCGTCTTCCCGCACACTCATCCCTGTCCTTACCGTGAGAGTGCTGGGACATTACTTCTGTCTGGCTCCTGACCAGCTGAGTTATGATGAAGGAAGCGTCTGTAAGATACCGAGGCAGAGGGCAAAAGTTACCTAAAGGTTTTAGAGCCACAGAGCTCATTGGTTTTTGTCCTGTTGAAAACTGTCCCTAGCCCGTTTCTGTTGGGAGCTTCTGAGCCACTTCCTTCCCTTATGTTATGTCTGATGCTTGGAGTCAGTAAACAAGGGAGGCCTGACCTTTGGTTAGAAGATTTTACACTTTGAGGCTGTTGTGGAAATACCATAAAATATGGGAAGGGAGAATTTGTGCTCCAGACCCAGCCCTTTACCTCTGGTCTCTTTAAACGTCCTTTTCAGGTGGTGACACAGTACAAATAAGCCTTGGAGAGGTACAGTGACTTGTCCTGTTGGGAGTCGTGGCTCTAGCTACTAGGAAGGCTTCTGCCTTGGTTAGGTTTGGGAAATGGGCAGATATTTTAAGAAGAATCATCTTGTTCAGGCTGGGGTCTTACCCTTTCCTGGAGCTCCCTGCCTCCGTCACAGGATGGAACTCTCCACAGACCCTGCACCCTCCCTTTTCTTTCGGAGGAGAATCTGCTTTAAGTTCTTCTCTGATGCTTTCTCACTGGGGCTGAGTTCTGTCTGGTTTTGCCTCGTGCTCATTCTGTTTCTTAAATGCAGCAGGTTTTCCCTAGACATCACCTTTCTACCCCTCACCCCGAGATACCTCTATGGCCCAGGAGATTTCTGGATGTGCGAAGCCCTTGCTGTGCGGGGAGTGGGAGGTCGATCTCCGTTTGCTGCTTTCTGAGCCGGCAGGACGGCCATGGGCTTGGTGTTTGAAGACAGCCTTTGACCTTAGATGAGATCACGCCTGTGTCAGGTCACCCACGCTCCGTGCACCTGGCCTATCGGTGTTTATGCAAACAGTGTTGGTTATAAATCTTCCACTGCTGCCCTTGCACTCGACAGGTGGGGAATCGGAGGCTCAGAAGCTGAGTGAGCCAGGCAGAGTGGCACACCCTGTAGTCCCAGCTACTGCGGAGGCTGAGGCAAGAGAATTGCTCAAGCCCAAGAGTTGGAGGTTGCTGTGAGCTGTGACACCAGGGCACTCTACCCAGGGTGACAGAGTGAGACTCTGTCTCCAAAAAAAAGTTTAGCGATTGTGTCCAAGGTGTTGGGTGATGTTCTTTCTCGCGAGGAGAGAAGGATGGCTTGGCCGCGAGTGCAGGCTCGCTCCTAGAATTGTTTAAAAGCAAGAAACGACTACATACTCTTAGATGGCATGTAGCAAAATGTCTTTATTTTCCACTCCCCTTTATTGGGAGCTAGTCACGTACACCATATTGCTCAATAATCCTAACATCCTCATTTCTTATCTTAAACTATAGAAAAGAAAGAAAGTCTGGGAAAGTGAGATAGCCATCATAAGATTAGCCTAAAGAAAGAAGGTCTGGGAAAGTTTGACAACCATCTTAAGCTAGCCTCAGGCTGTTCCTCTCTGAAGACCTAAAAGAACTACACATTATCTGACTTCTCTTGTTAAAGGTTAGGATAAACAGAGGAGTAAAACCTTTCTCTTCTATGTGCTCAATTAAATTTCCAAGAAACTGGCTCCATGACTGTTTTCTTATGGTTTTGGAGACCCCGCAGTTAACGATGGAGTATTTTACTCAACATCATTACAATAGAGTTTTTCTTTTTACTCACATCAACCTTTGAGTCATGTCCTCTGCACAGATGGGCCGTTTCAACCCTTATCTGACAGGCCGACTTGACTGCAGTGTTCCCTGTAGGAGGTTTTTACACCTTGCCTGCAGGCCCCCACTGTGTTTTCCCAGTCGCTTAGGGCCTCAACAAAAGCACATAGTACTTGCAATTCGCTCAGTTTCTGGAATTAAAAGAGCACATTTAATTTAATTTTTGTGGGGGTTTACCCCACACCAAGGCCACACTGAATTAGAATCTGAGCTAAGATAGAGCTCAGACCCTGGATTTCTGTCTTAGTCCAGGGCTGCTTCTACCACAGCGCAGTCATTCTGCCTAAACTAGGAGACCCCTCTCAGAATGCCTCTGTCCCCTAGGAGAGCCCTTACCCTGCCTGAGGGCAGAGGCCAGCTGTCCTGATAGAGCTCCCAGCTCATTTGGGCCTTTTGTGACTGAACTGGGGTGATATCATGGCTGTTTATTTGCCATCTCCACCCCTAATGTCCCACTGCCCCTTGCCTTGCCCATACCTCACAGCTTAGCCAACTTCTAGGTAGACAGGCCTGGGGCCCAGATCTCAGCTCTGCCACTTAACTGCTCTGTGGCTTGGGGCAAGTGAATTTCCCTCTCCAGGCCTTGGTTTCTTCATCTGTAAAATGGGGACAATGTCACGCTTAGAATGGTGAGGGAGTTTGGGGTAAGCATCCAAAGTGTCCAGCCAGTGCCTGGCCCATGGCACACACCCAGTCATCAGCACACACCTTAACTCCCCACTGACATGAGACTCATTCTCTTCCAGGGCATGGGATATCTTCATGCCAAGGGCATCGTACACAAAGATCTCAAATCTAAGAACGTCTTCTATGACAATGGCAAAGTGGTCATCACAGACTTTGGGCTGTTTGGGATCTCGGGTGTGGTCCGGGAAGAACGGTGAGTCAGCCTTGGTGTTTGGTGGCACAGGGGGAGCTGGGTGCGATGGGTGGGTGGGCTTGCGGTCTGGGCACTCTGGCTGGCAATTGCTGAGATTGCTGTGGTCCTGTCTTTGTGGTTCTGGTCCAGAATCCGGTGGGGGTCACATTTAGATTCTCAGGCTGAGCCCAATGGAGGCTGGGTTCCCTCACATTTGCCAAGGCTGTTCACTGACTTGAGCAAGGAACTAGAACTCACATCCCCATGGTGAGAAAGAGCATTAGGTTTTATTTTGCCAAATCTCAAAAGGGTTGGTGTGGGGAGAAAGCCTCCTCCCAAGCACCTGAGTGACTGTGGAAGGGAGAGCAGCCCCAGGCTGTGGAGCCAGCCAGCGCTAGCTCCAGGCAGGGCTGCGATCCACCGGCGGGTCTGGTTTTTGGGTTAGGGAGGTGCCCCTCTCTCCTAGCCCAGAGAGTCCGCTCCTTCAAGTGCAGCTCCCTGGCAGTACTCATTCTTGGCCTGCTCTTCCATGACATTCGCTAAAAGCACCAGCGCCTTTGCAAGTACTGGATCAGCGTGCTGGGTCCAGCTCCTTACCCTGAGTTGTGCGTGTGCTACTGGCCCCTGGGCACAAAGTGTGCCAGGCTCACCTCTTTGCTGCCTACTAGAAGGCCCATGTCCTTGTCCTGCCTTCTTGGCCTCCAGGCGGGAGAACCAGCTGAAGCTGTCCCACGACTGGCTGTGCTACCTGGCCCCAGAGATCGTGCGCGAGATGACCCCTGGGAAGGATGAGGATCAGCTGCCGTTCTCCAAAGCTGCTGACGTCTATGCTTTCGGGTGAGCAGGTCCCCTGTGCTCTGAGGCCAGGTGTGGCCAGAAGAGATGGCTGCGGTGGCCATCGGAGCAGGGGGCAGGTGTTCTTTGAAGTTTCCAAAGCCTAGGCTCTGGGGGGAAACAAACTAGCTTTCAAGTCTTGGCTTTCCTGCTTGTCAGATGCCAGACCATGTCCTTGGCCTTCTGCTTCTCTGCCTTTGAGATGGGCAGGGTCCTAATTATATAAAATGCATAACAGTGGCTGTCATTCTCAACCATTGACCCCTGAGGAAGCTCACTAGAGCTGACCAAGAACTGCCCCTTCCACTCTGGTACCCCACAAAGAGCTGGGTGCTAACCAGTGGAGATAAAATGTGAGTTAGCTATAGAATGTAAAGTTTTCTAGTAACCAATTAAAAGAGAAACAGGTAGAACGGGGTGTGGTGGCTCACGCCTATAATCCCAGCACTCTGGGAGGCTGGGGCAGGGGGTGGGGAGGTGGGGTGGATTGCCTGAGCTTACAGGTTTGAGACCAGCCTCAGCAAAAGCTAGACCCCATTTCTAAAAATAGCCAGGCATTGTGGCAGGCGCCTATGGTCCTAGTTACTTGGGAGGCTGAGGCAAGAGAATTGGTTGAGCCCAAGAGTTTGAGGTTGCTGTGAGCTGTGATAGCATGGCACTCTACTGAGGGCAATAAAGTGAGATCTGTCTCAAAAAAGAGAAACAGATGATATTAGTTTCAGTAATGTATTTTAGTGAGTTCAGTATTTCTAAAATATTATGTCAGCATGTAATCAATATAAACAAACAATGGGACTATAAAATTTTATGTTTCCTTTTCCTACTGAGTCTTCAAAATCCAGACTGTGTTTTCTACCTATAGCACACCCTAGTTCAACTGTCTACTTCTCAGTTGCCCAGTAGGCCCCTGTGGCAAGTGGCCCCCATGTTGGACAGCACAGGTCTGATGGAGAGAGTCCCATTCTGATGAGTCAGGAAGGCCAAGGAGGTTTGGAGAGGCCAAGGAAGGCTCCCCATCCCCTAGGGTGGCCTAGGTGCTGTCCCTTGTCCCTCACCTTAAACTGTGTCATTTCCTCAGCACCGACGTGTGCCATGCCCTGGGCTTGACATTTTTGTTACTCTGGAGGTATCAGCAGCCCCACTGAGGTCAGGCAGTTGTACAGGGATCTCAGAACTAGGAAGTGGCAGGACTGGGTTGATACTTGCATCCGAATGACCACTGACTCTCCGCTCAGGCCCATGCTGCCTCAGATGTTGGGGCCTGAGAAGCCTACAGATGCCATCATAGCTTCCCTGGAGCCTGATAGATGAGGAGGAAGTCTGGAGAAGGACCTTGGTCCTCTGGTGTGGCTGCCGGCTTTGGGTAGCCAGTGATCTGGTCACAGAGTTACTGGGTGTGAGCTGGGCAGAGCCATGGGAGCTCATGTCGATGGGTCTCCGCAGGACTATTTGGTATGAACTTCAAGCAAGAGACTGGCCCTTTAAGAACCAGGCTGCAGAGGCCTTGATCTGGCAGATTGGCAGCGGTGAAGGCATGAAGCGAGTCCTAGCATCTGTCAGCCTGGGGAAGGAAGTCAGCGTGAGTAGCCCCCTGCTCTGGGAGGGGGAGGCAGAGCTGAAGGTGGGGCTTGGGTACCTGACACTGCTGCCCTTCACTGATGCACCTGACAGGTAGGACCAGTGGGGGGCTGTGTGGCCTGGAGGTGTGTGACTAGTGATAAGAATGGTAAGAATGGTGCATATTGATGAAGACGGGGCTGGAACAGGGACAGGTGGAGGAGAAAGTACAGCCGTCCATTCTCCACCCACTGGGAACTTTTCTCATTTCCTTCTAGTCTTTTATTTAAAAAGATAATGGGTCTCTGGGTGGCGCCTGTGGCTCAGTGGGTAGGACACTGGCCCCGTGTACCCAGTGGTACAAACCCAGCCCCAGCCAAACTGCAACAAAAAAATAGCCAGGCGTTGTGGTGGGCACCTGTTGTCCCAGCTACTCGGGAGGCTGAGGCAAGAGAATCACCTAAGCCCAGGAGTTAGAGGTTGCTGTTAGCTGTGTGACGCCACGGCACTCTACCCAGGGTGACAGCTTGAGGCTCTGTCTCAAAAAGAAAAAAATGGTTTTTATTGATCTATGAAATAAAAAAGAGAATAAAATCCTAAATGTTAGAATTATCACTGCTAAAATACAAATATGCTATAGAGTAATCAGATCTTTAACCATAAAGCTTTTATTGACTGTTCAAGAACAAATGGAAGTTTCCACAGCAAACTTGTTTTCAAAATGCTGAATCAATTACAGTCACTGGCTTCTTGTTCCTGAATGGCTTCTCTGTGTTTGTAAGTTTCCCCGCCATGGCACAGTGAGGGATACACTTTGAATCCTTCTGTGCCTGAAATAGTTTTTATTTTGTCCTCACACTAGGAATAGAATTCCAGGTTCACAATAATTTTCCCTCCGGGCTGGGTTCAGTGGCTCACACCTGTAATCCCCGCACTCTGGGAGTCTGAAGTGGGTAGAACACTTGACCTCAGAAGTTCGAGACCAGCCTGAGCAAGACTTCAGTGGAGACGCCATCTCTACTGAAAATCAAAAAACTAGCTGGACATAGTGGCACACACCTGTAGTCCCAACTACCTGGGAGGCTGAGGGAGGAGGATTGCTCAGGCCCAAGAGTTTGAGGTTGCTGTGAGCTGTGATAATACTGCAGCACTCTACCAGGACAACAGAAGAAGACTGTCTCAAAAAGGAAAAAATTCCCTCCGAACACAAAAATTTTCCCCTCCTGTTTACTGGGTATCCAGGGCTCGTGTTGGTCTGATTCACAACCTTTGTAGATCCTTATTTTTTCTATAAGCGTCTAGGATTTTCTCTATATTTTTGATGTAGCAAAAGTTCCCTTTGCATCATCTAAAAACCACCCACTCCCGCTTCTGATCTCTTTACCATTACTGGCCTATCAACATGGTTTCATGGTTTTTGTTTTTAATAAAGTCCCTTTATTGGGCCTTTTCAGCTGAAGGCCCCTTTCCCTTTGGACGTCTATGGGAAATTTCCTTGTATTATGTCTTTGATAATTTCCTGCCCAGTGGTTTATATTCTCTTGCGGAAATTTATGGCCAATGGAATCTGGTTCTTGTTAATGAGTCGCCGTCTCTTGGACCTTCTTTCATATTTTTCATCCCTATCTAAAATGGGGTCCTTAATCTAGGGAATTTTAATGACTTTATCTTCTAGCACTTCTAACGTTGGCTCAGAAATTACATTTTCAGTTTTAAGCACTTCCGCATTTGTTGGTTTCTTTTTTTTTTTTTTGAAACAGAGCCTCAAGATGTCCCCCTGGGTAGAGTGCTGTGGCATCACAGCTCACAGCAACCTCCAACTCCTGGGCTTAAGCGAGTCTCCTGCCTCAGCCTCCCAAGTAGCTGGGACCACAGGCGCCCGCCACAACGCCCGGCTATTTTTGGTTGCAGCCATTATTGTTGTTTGGTGGGCCGGGCTGGATTCGAACCCGCCACCTTAGGTGTATGTGGCTGGTGCCTTAGCCACTTGAGCCACAGGTGCCTAGCCGGTTTCTTTTTTTGTATTGTGCTCTGATCTTGTTTCATGATAGAATAGCTTCTTCTCACACAGTCACCCACCCTCCAGAGGTGGTGTTTTGATCTGTGTATCTTCAGTCTCTAGTTTTTCTGATATGGGAGGCAACCCCGGGGGGTCAAATTGAATTTAAGAAAAAAAGCCTGAGTTGCTGGGTCTAGGTAGAGTTTGCATTCTGCCCACATGCTGTGCAGTGCGTGCAGGCCCATTCCTTACAGGAGTTCTCCTGAATCGGAAGGCTAAGGGGGTGCTGTGTACACAAGTAGATCCTGAAAGCAGGCAGCAGAATGTCACAGCAGAAGGGCGTCTCTGCTGACTCTCGGCTGCTGCCCCACCCCCCGTATTTAGTTGTCCTGGTCACTCTTGGCCTCCATTCTGGTAACGCTGAGCCCCCGTGTCTACAGCAGCCCCACCCCACACGTCTTCTGAGCCTCTCAGTTTTTACTTATGGACATGGTACCTTCCCTTTGCATCATCTAAAAACCACCCACCCCGCTTCTGATCTCTTTCCCATTACTGGCCTGTCAACATGGTTCCTCTTATTTGGGGGTAGGGTCAGTCTAAGAAGGAAGCTTCTGAAACAGTCATTTCTTAGCTTTTCGTGTTGGCGGGGTGTGCAGAGGGCCGCCAGCTGTGGGTGCTTGAGAACATTGAAGGGGCCCTTTGTGGCGCACCCTTGCTCCTTTCCGTCCTTCCCAACCAACTTCCACAGCACTAATGGCAGCTCTGTTTGCAGGAGATCCTGTCTGCCTGCTGGGCTTTTGACCTGCAGGAGAGACCCAGCTTCAGCCTGCTGATGGACATGCTGGAGAAGCTGCCCAAGCTGAACCGCCGGCTCTCCCACCCTGGGCACTTCTGGAAGTCAGCTGAGTAAGTACCCCTTTAGGAAGCCAGGACAGCCAGCCGCACCCTTGGGGCCTCACCTGGGGTATTAAGGGGCACCTCTGGGAAAGACTTAGCAGATTAGCCAGTGGAAACTCATCTCTCTGCCCACCTGATACCAAGAAGTTCACTTACTGAGTTTATTTTGGAGACTCCCTCTGACAGGCAGGCACCTCCAGTTCACATCTGTGATAAACTGTGTCAGGAGCCTGTGTAGTGGCTCACACCTGTAGTCCTAGCACTTTGGAAGTCTGAGGCAGGTGATCACATGAACTCACAAGTTTGAGACCAGCCTGCACCTACTCGGGAGGCTGAGGCCGGAGGATCACTTGAGCCCAGGAGTTAGAGGTTGCTGTGAGCTATGAGGCCACGGCACTCTACCCAGGGGGACAGAGTGAGACACTGTCTCAATTAAAAAAAAAACAAAACTACATGTCACTATTATCAGAGCAGCACTGGACTAGAAGGTTCTGCCTAGGAAGGGGCAGAATGGACCACTTGAGGTCAGAGAGATGTGGGGCTGAGGGTCACCAAAATATGCAGAGCCATTGTTGCTTACAGAGGCACTGAGTCAAACTCAAAAAATCGAGCTTTTTAGCACAAAGGCCTGCCACCTGTCATGGGGACCTCACATGCTTGGGTTTCTATGGTGCTATGCTGGAAAAGCCCGTCCCTCCTGTTTGATCACACAACCCTCTCCGCCCTTGGTGCAGCTCCTCTGGGTGCCGCAGAGCCCTCTGCCATCTCTCCTGCATCCTGCCTCCTTCCCTTTTTTCCTTTGCTCCTCTGGCTGCCTCTGCCAAAACAAAAGACCTCTGCCCTGCCGTGAATGCTTCGTTAGAACTTGGGAAAGTTCTTCCTTGTTCAGGGCCTCAGTTTCTGCAGCTTTGAAGAGCTGAGGTTGGGTCAAGACCGAGGGTGGGCAAACTGACGGGCCAGCTGGTGAATAGTGTAGGTGTTGGAGACCAGAGGGCAATTCAAGTCTTCACTCCTGGGACTGGCCGTACTGTGCATGAGTGCAGCCTCCGTGGCAAAGACTGGGACAGCGTGGGGGCAGCTACAGAGGATGCCTGCACTAGGGAGCTGGCCCCGTTCCAATTGGTTCTGGATGCCAGAATTTCATAAAAATTTTACACGTCAGGAAACAGTCTTGATTTTTTTTTTTCCCCTTCCCAACAACTGAGAAAGGTAAAAATTATACTTAGTCTGTAGATTGTGCAGGAAAAGCTGGCAGGTCATGCTGGCCCCACAGGCTGGGCTCCTGGATGAGTGAGTGGTTTTAAACTTTTTTAAGGCAAATGATACTTTTTTCTGAAAGTGACATCTCCCACAGAGCCCCAGTACATGAAATAGGTGAAGTGGAACTGCCCTTGAGGGCAGTGAGGGGCAAGAGCCTGTCTGCCAGCCCTGCTCAGGTATCCTTAGAGGCCCCCAGTCCCTGCACACGTGTCCTATCCTTGAGGTGCCACACACCCAGCTCATACCTGGTGCCACACAGCATTCCTCATCCTAGAAAGGGTCACATAAGGAGGTTCAGGCAGGCAGATGGGACAGTCACTGTATGTGTCTTTTCTTTTTTTTCTTAATATCTTTTAAAATGGTCAAAACTTTTTTCTTTCTCATTGTCTTGTCACTGGGGGTTGGTGGGGTATGAACATGCTATCCTCCTGTCTTGTCATCTCCCCCTTTCCCTCCTCCTGTCTGCCGGGGCCGACATGATCGCCTGCTCGGGCTGGACTGCTCTCTGCCCACACCTGGCGGAATGGTCTCGGGGCTCTCCCAGTCGCTGTAGGAGCCGCTACTATGGGAAAGGACGTTTCGGCCACCCCGACTTTAAGAACTCCTGTCCGGTTCTGGAGGAATAGTGTGTCTCCTGTTACTTCCCTCACTCTTGGCCTATTTGTGGTTATCCCCTTGCACACCCCGCTTACTCTGTGTCTGCACCCCTATCCGATTGTGTGTGATTTATTTCCTTAGCCAAGTGGCATTCTTGCAACTCACCCAGCCACCAGGCTTGTATTTCTCTCCATGGGTAAGAGAACACCCACAGCATGTGGCAGGGCCTCTGACCACACCGAGAGTGGACAGTTAGTTGTGCCTGGGTGGGAAAGAACTCAGATCATTGATTTGGGCCCCCAGGGTCGCCATTGGTTAAAAGAAGAGAGTCTGGTGAGCAGAAATATTCCCGGATGTAAATTCCAGTAGTCGAGGGCTCAGGACCGTGGGCCTGTTTGCTGACCTCTCTGTAAACAGCCTATGCCTGGGCCCTGGGGAGAGCTCAGAGAAGATTCTTTGTGCCCAGGCTCCATTCCAAGCTAGCTGTGCTGCAAAGCTGGGTTGTGGCGGTAGGGGATGTCCCTATCTCTCTCAGGGGCAGCAGGTGCCCCTGCCTGGCTGCTCTGGCCAGGCCCCCAGCTTCCCCAGGTATACACCTGGGGTTCCGGCTCTGACGCTGTTCTCCCTTCTCTTCCTCCTGTAGGTTGTAGGCCTGGCTGCTTTGCATCCACCGGGGCTTTCTTCCTCCTAATCGGCCACTCAGCAACATGACTTCTACTAAAATGCACAATGAGATACGGGCACTAACCTGGGGATACACCCTCTGCTACTCCGGTCTTCTCACTCGAAACTTCTGCTTTGTCTGTTTTTAAACTGCCCTCTCCCCTCTCTGCGTGGCCTGCCTGTGCCTGAGCGAACGTTCCCAGAGGATCCCACTAACTGAGCTCGCTCCATGGCGGTCTGAGCAGCTTCTAACCACCTTCCTGGACGTGACTTTTATTTCTCCCTTGTTCTTCAGCTGAGGGCTGGTCTTGTTTTCGTGTGGGTGGCTCTGACTCACTAACTAGGGAGCTATACCCCACCCCCCCTGTGCACACCAGCCTCCTGCTGAGTATGTGCATAGGGGGACAGGGGTTCTACTTGGCTTTTAACCCAGACGAGGAGTGGAATGGTTTCAGAATTGCCCAGAGGCCAGCACCCCGGTCACAGACCCTCTTCTGAGTTCCTGTCTCTCAGTCCCCTGGTAGAGTTGGGGCAAGAGACATGAAAAGTTCTTTCAGTTGCCATGAAAGACACTTGCGTGGAAGGGCTGTGTTCTCAGTGGCACCCCCAGAAAAGCTGCCCTAGGGATGCCTGTCTGCAGACAAGTTCACTAGTGAAAACAAAGCTGCTGCCCCCCCATGCCCCACCCTGGCAAAGTTACTCCCTTTACATCTGCCCAAGGCTCCCCACTCCCCAGGCCAGCATTGATCAAGTGTGGCAGACGGGGCCACCTGTGACAGTCACTACGCTGTTGAGTATATGCAGATTCCTGCCCATCTTCCCCAGCAACACCTGCTGGAGCTGGATCTCTGGACTTAGGCTCTGGGAATCTGCATTTCAGCCTGCTTTCCAGGAGGCCCTAGTGCACCCCAACACTTGAGTCGATTTCTAAAAGGGGCATGGGATGCCACTCCTGCTCCTGAGAGTCAGATTTTCCATCTCTCCCAGTTCCACGTGGGGCAAGAAGCGCTTTCCTGGGCTGCAAAGGAAAAAAACAATTTGGACAAGCCCACAGCAGTTAGAGTGCTGGGAGCTCGGGGTTCAAAATGAATGAGCTTCTGTCACTGGCCAGGGGCTCCTATTGCCAAACAATCATTTTTACTTCTTGGTATGGGGGCTGGGCCCTCTGCTGAGCTTCTGGAACTAGCCCATTTCTTAGCTAGTGTTGCTCTAATCCTAATCAAGACCAGCAGAGCTATAATTTAACCCTTGTTTCTGTTCCACTTTGCAGCATTAACAGCAGCAAAGTTGTACCCCGGTTTGAAAGGTTTGGCTTGGGCGTCCTGGAGTCCAGTAATCCAAAGATGTAGCCAGCTGTGCAGTTTTCCTGCTGCCTATTTATTTCTCTTTGAAATGTGTTTCTAAAACACCCAAACAACACGGTGACAAAAGTTACACTCCGCCCGCGCGGCGCTGCGACCAGGAGCACGAGTCTTCCATTCAGACCATGTGTCCACAGAACCACTCGGGTCCCAGGAGATGGAGCTGCACCTGCTATGTCTTAACACCACCACCAACCAAACCTGTCCTGAGCAACAGCAGATGTTTACATGTGTGTTTCTGCTGCATGAACATGATGTTTTACAATAGGTAATAATAAAAATTCGGTGCATAGGTGCACTGGCACCAACGGCCAGGATGGCAGGAGGACCCTGTAGGTAATGAGGGGCCCGTGCTGGGCCGGAAGCAAGAAAACCGTCATGACTGTGGCTGTTCTGGGGTAGGGCATGGTGTGCACAAGATCTCTGGCCTCTGCTTTGGCCCCACATCCCATCAGTGGGGAATCTCCCTCTGTGTAGGGGTCTCCCCTGATCCTATCGCAGAGACACTGTCCCTTCCTCATCTTGCAGGGGAAACCCTAGCTAGGAACCGAGCTGCATTATGGGGCTCAGAGCTCCCAGAGAGCTTGGACTCACTTTCTGACCCCCACACTCCAGGCTTTTCCTCCTGGAAAGGTAGAGACAGAATCCAAATAACGTCTGGACTGTTCCAGCGGTTCCTAGCCAGGGCTTCTGCTACAAGGTAAGGAAACACCCATGTGCCTGTACAGATGTTTCTTTTTTGAAGCCCCCAGGCAGGCAGCAAGGGGGTGGGACACACATCCCAGTCCCTGATTGATATTTGACCCCAGGGCAGAGGGGCAGCCCAGCGGCTGTATGGACCATGAGACTTGGGGGTAGAAACTAAGATGAGGAACCAGGTGGCTAACCCCTGCATCCCAGCTGTAGGGTCACCTTAGAAACCCATCATCAGTCAAGCCAGAAGGTTCTGGGACTGCCCACCTCTTCCACTCTTAGTCCTGTTGGAACCCTTTAGCCTGTTCCTGGCTCCTCTGTCTCTGTTGCACACTCAGGTGGGGGCATGTGGCCTGTGTCCACCCTTTCAGGCCCACCTAGGAAACCCCCTGTCTGCGGAGCCTTCCCTAGCACCACCAAGCCTTCTATCTGAGTCCAT